ATGAGAACCCTGTGGCTAGGTGCATGGCTACCCTGGCACTCAGACACCCAGGCACCTGGACAGAACACAGAGGCACTCCACACTGTCCACACCCTAACGTGAGCGCTCTCAGACACCTGGGCACACTCACCTCCACACCCACAGGCCCTGTGGGATCCTGTTTGCCTTCCCACACCCTGACCCTGGGACACCCTCACCTAGATACTGAGACATCAGCCACTCAAACAGCTGCCTGGGGCCAGCGCTGTGGCACAGTGGGTTAAAGCCCTGGCCTGAAGCGCCAGCATCCCATATGGGCGCCAGTTCTAGTCCTAGCTGTTCCTCTTCTGACCCAGCTCTCTGCTATGGCCTGGGAAAGCAGTAGAAGACAGTCCAAGTCCTTGGACCCCTGAACCCATGTGGGAGACCCAGAAGAAGCTCCTGGCTCCTGGCTTCAGATCGGCGCAGCTCTGGCCATTGCGGCCATCTGGGGAGTGAACCATCAGATGGACGACCTCTCTCTCAGTCTCTACCTCTCTCTGTAACTCTTTCAAATAAATAAAATAAATCTTTAAAAAAAAAAAACAAAAAACAAAAAAAAAACAGCTGCCTGCCCAACTCCAGGAACTTGAACCTTGGATCTTCAGCCCCCTAGGCTCCCCAGGGCCCAAAGCCTAACCCAAGCTCAGACTCTACCACACCAGGGTAACCAGATGATCAGATGCCCTGCCAGATGCCACAAGCCCTGTTCCCACAGCTACAATCATACACACACACACACACACACACACACTCCCTGACAGCTTAGATGTCAGGGTCACATCCACACACCTGCAAGTGTCACCGCAGGAAGCAGGTCTCCTTCCTTCCCTCCGGCTCTCAAGCAGCCGGGACAGGCCTGGGGCTGACGGAGGAGGGGCTGCCAGTCAGCTCCCCTCCCGCTCCTGGCCCAGGGCTCCTCCCCCAGAGGCTCAGGATGACCGTTGGGACTCAATGCTTCCCCAACTGCCAAGGCCTCATCACAAAGGGCTGAGCCTGGGGGCCGGGCCCCGCCAGCTGCTGCGGCTGGGGCCAGGGAACAGCACACAGAGAGGGCGGAGGTGAGCACGGCAGGCAGAGGACCTGCTCCCTTCTGTCTGCCAGGGACTTAACCTCAAGTCACAGCTCCCGATGACCCTCTCTGCGTGGCCTTTCCACAACACAATACCATCCCCCAGCAGAATTTTCCAGATTCCTGGAGGGAAAACCCTAGCTCTTTAATCTCTACCTTCAGTGGAGTCAGTGCGCCCCCGTCTGGCATCTCCAGCTCCGAACTTGACCCACTCCACTCCATCCATTCTCTGAAGCCACACAGATCTACTCTGCCTGGGTGGGCCAGGCCGTACTGGGGCACTGAGGACAGTCCCTGTCCTCGCTGAGCCCATGCTCTGGTAAGGGGGACAGGACAGATAAACTGTAATCACAACAATTACAGTGCTGTGTGAAAATTCGATCAACCCCCACCGGCCTCCTGGGCCAGGACAGGGCATGGCCAAGGGAAGCTTCCAGAGAGCTGAACAAGATGCACCAGTTCACCGCGAGGGGGTGGAGCTAAAGAGTTCTGGGGGGAAATGACAGCCAGTGCAAGGGCTGGGGGGGGCAGGCAAGGGATTTTTAGGGGGGCCTCTAGCAAGTGGGGCAGGCTGGCCAGGTCACAGGATGCAAGGGGCAAAGGACACAACACAAGGGGCTGGACAGACAGACAGGCAAGAGCTACAGCAAGCAACGGAGCTGGCGAGAGATGGGGAAGGACTGCACCCCAAAGGCAATAGAGAGCCTCCAAACAGGTTTATTTTTTCAAGATTATTTATTTATTTGAAAGGCAGAGTTGAGAGAGAGACAGAGAGACAGAGAGACAGAGAGAATCTTCCATCCACTGGTTCACTCTCAAAATGGCCACAACAACCAGGCTGGGCCTGGCCAAAGCCAGAAGCCTGAAACTCCATTCAAGTCTCCCACATGGGTGGCAGGGGCCCAAGAACTTGTTCCATCCTCTGCTGCCTTCCCAGGCACATTAGCAGGGAGCTAGATTGGAAGAGGAGCAGCCCAGGGCTGGAACCAGCACCCATATGGGATTCTGGCATTGCAGATGGGGGCTTAACTCTCTGTGCCTTGACGCCAGCCCCTCCAAAGGGTTTTAACCCAAGGTTTAAACATGAGTTTTAGGAAAAGCCCTGGTACCATGAGGGAAGGAAGAAGCCAAGGGGAGCCTCCCTGCAGGTGAAAGATAGCTGAGGCTGGAGAGAAGCCAGCCAGCCAGGGGGACCTGAGAGGGCTAACGGTCAGGACGCATGAGCACACAGGGTCGGCGACTCAGAGGAGGGCAGGGTGGAAGGAAGAAGGGGACATGGGTCAGGCCCTGCAACAATGGCTAGCCCATCCCCCCATGGAGGGGCCACCCCACAAGCCAGCACAGCTGAGGGAATCACGGAAGGGTAACGGCACGCACACCTCCAACAAGCAGGGCATCCAACCTGGGTTTCTCCGTCACCAGGACTGGGCAGGCAGCCGCTCAGCTCAACACCCCCAGCCTGGCCACCCTCACCAGGTCCTGCCGAGTCCCCTCCCTCCAGCCCCAGGAGGACAGGCTGCCTGGACAAACCCTATTGCTCAACCTGAAACCACTAGGCAGCCTCTCCCTCATTCCTCTGTCCACTACCCCTAAAGGACAAAATGAGCTGGAACACAGTGGAACAGATTCCTGCGGTGTGAACATCACATGCCCCTACCTGGGAAACCCAGGAGGTAAGCAGGGAGCTGGGCTAAGTCGACTGAGACCAGGGGCAGGGTGATGCCACCTCTCTTCTACTGGGGGCTTCTGAATTCCGCTCTAACAGTGACAGCAACAGAGGTGATGCCAGGGACTTTGGGAGTCACATGGGCAGCAAGTGGCAGTGGCAGGGTTTGAACCCAGGTCCCCGCAGCGTCCAACCACAGCTTCACACCCATGTGCTGTCCCCAGGCACTCAGACCAGTCACCATCACAGCAGTGCCCAAGAGGCAGACGGGGAAACTGAGGGACAAGTCCCCCTGCTGGTGGAAGTTAGGATGCCTGAGTATTTGGGCAATCAAGAGGACTGGTAGGAGTGGGGTGGGGGGATCGGCAGAGCACCCCTTGGGCTTGACTCAGGGTGGGGGAGGGGCAAAATTGCGGCAGGGCAGGGCAGGGAGTGGAGGAATATGGGGAGGGAGGTCTCACTGAGTCACCGTCCTGGGCACCGGGCAGTCGAAGCTAAGGCTGCGCCCCCCGGGCAGCTGTGGGAGGCCCGGAGCTCCCGCCCGAGACACGCTAGAGGGCGGCAAGCGGGGAACTGGATCCTGGGGAGGCCGCCGTCTGGGGCGGGCAGCCGGGAGGAGCCTCTCCCTACCAAGGCGGCCCCGGCACGTGTCTCGGCTCGGATCCCGCCCCGGGCGTCTCCCCGTTACTCGGTGCCGGTAGAAGGCGTCCCCGGGAGCAGGGCCGAACCAACGCGGCCGGAGGGAACCACGGTCTGGGATCCCAGGCCCTAGGGCAGGCCGTGGGACGCGCGCACGACACACGCACGCACACACACGCGCGACACACGGCGCCCAGCTCACGCGCCGCGCAGACACAAGCTCGGGACACCACGGGCAGGTACGCAGCCTCACACGCCACACATCCCAAAGACTGCCGACCCCGGCCGACCGAAGCGCGGGGCCGCACGCCGGCACTCCCATGCCCACGGCAGGCAGGCCGGCAAAGTTGCCGAGTGGAACCCACGGAGTGTCCCGGAAGACCCCGGCGTCCGCGGCGCCTCCGGCGCGCCACGAGAGGGGGCGCCGGCCCGCAGCCGCCGGCAGGGCCCAGCCCCGAGCCCCGACGTCTCAGCCCCGCCCGCCTGGGGCACGGCCCCCGCCCGGCCGCCCTCCGTACAGCCCAGCGAGGGCCACCCGGAGCGCCCTCCCGCCCCCCGCCCCGCGCCCCCCGCGCCGGCCCCCGCCGTCCTTCCCCGCCCCGGCCGGGCCCGGCGCCGGCTCGGATCAGCCGCCCGCCAGCGCCGCGCCGAACTTGCGAAACAACAAACAGCCCAGCTCGTCGGAGTCGGCGGCCGCTGGTCCCTCCGCCCCCGGAGCCCCGGGCCGGGCCAGACCCCGCGGCCCCGCGCGGCCCACGGTCCACGGCCGCCGCCGCCGCCGCAGCCGCGACAACTTGCTCGGGCCGGGCGCGCCACACTCGCGCCCCCGCGCGCACGCACACATCTTGCCCGCGCCCCCTCGGAGGCCGGGCCCGGGCACACCCGAGCGCGGCCCGGCGCGCACCACACTCGCAGCACTGCCGGACGCGCAGCCAATGCGCACCGACACTCACACTCGCGCACACGCACGCCTGGCACTCGGGGCACCGCTCGGACCCACACAGCCCCCAGCGGTGCACACACAAGCCACGGACACTCCCACACGTACACACCGAGCACACGGCGCTCGGACACACACAGACCTCACACGCACACACACCACGCATGAGTTCCCGGACCCGCACTCGGCACACGCATCTCTCTCTCTCTCTCCCTCTCTCCCTCTCTCCCTCTCCCCCCCCCCCCCCACCACCAAACACACAGCGCTCCCGGCCAGGGCAGGCAACATGCAACACAGAAGCGGATCCAACTCCGGCCACACCACCAAACTCGGATGCACACGCTGCAGGCACACAACCCACTTGGCCGCACAAACACGAGCCACCGGCAGACACTCGGCGCACACCCACGCCTCGAGGCGCACAACCTTCACCCAATACACTCGCCGACACAACGCACAGCCCCCTTGCCTTGCACGCACAACTCGTGGACGCACATTCGCAGCCACACAACACCCTGAGCACGCCACTGACCTCCCACTCCCGCACACGCGCATGGAGCACGCCCGCACCGCCCGGCCACACAACACTCACACTTTCTTCCGAGCTACGCCACGGGCCCCGCGGGCTCGGCGGGGCAAGCTCGGTCCGACCGCCGCGCGCTTACCTGCCGGAGTCTCGGTCTCCGGCGCGCAGAGCTGGAAGGTGAGCGCCAGGACGAGCGCCTGGGCGCGGGCCATGGTGGATACGCCGCCGCCTGCCCCGGGGGCCCGGTGCGGGGGGCGCCGCCGCCGCCGGAGCCCGAGCCGAGCCCGAGGCGAGCCGGAGCCAGAGCGGAGCAGCGCGGCGCGGAGCGGGACTGGCGCCGAGTCCAGAGCGGGAGCCGGAGCAAGCGGGGCGCTGACGTCAGGCCCGGCCGCACGATCGGCGGTCTCGCGGCGCCCCCCGCTGGCAGCCGTGCGCGCTGCTATCGGGGTCTGGACGCCCGCCGGCCCGGCGCGCCCCTCCCCCACCAGGCGCCCCCTGCCTGGAGGCCCCTGGGCCCGGCGTGGAAGCCCACTGGCCTCTGCTCGGAGTGGGGAACCAGAATTCTCAGGTGAGCACGCACACTGCCCGCGCCTCGCGGGCGGCCGGAGAGCGCTATCAGGACAGTGACCCAGGGACACCGGCCCTCTCTGCCTCATGCGATGCGTGGATCTCCTCTGCAATCATACGGACCTACAAGGAGCAAGCGCACGCCGCCTACCAGGAGTGGTCGTTGAGGCCTTTGGAGACGCTGGCGTTTAGAAAGTTCTTCCTGACGTGTGGTCCCCTCCCTCGCTAACCCTCCCTGGTCTTACGCGACCCTTTGGCTGCACAGGTCAGATCTATTCGTGCTTCTAGCCGGTGCCTTCACGGCATAATGGTCCACAAACTAGGTGCCTTCTCTATGAAGACCAGGCATTTTTAGGTGCTGCACCCACCCGGACTCACTCAAAACCTTCAGCTTGACAACCCCATTACACAGTTGAGGAACTAGAGGCACATAGAAAGTGACTTTTCCAAAGTTGTGCTTTAGTGTGAGCTCGCACCAAGATCTGAATCAAGATGGTCTTGCTTGGGGCCAGGTATGGTAGCTCAGGGGGTTAAGCCACAGTTCTGGCTGCTCCTTTTCCAATCCAGCTCCCTGCTAATGCCTCTGGGAAGGCAGTGGACGATGGCCCAAGTGCTCCAATCCCTGCCACCCATGCAGGAGACCCGGATGTATTTCTGGACTCCTGGCTTTGGCCTGGCCCAGTCCTGGACATTTAGATAACAAGACAGTAGACCTCTCTCTCTCTCTCTCTCTCTCTCTGCCACTCTGCCTTTCGAATAAATGAGCTACATCTTATTTAAAAATCGTCTTGCTTGAATTGAGCACAGGCTAATGCTGCCTCCCATGGAAACCAGTCACTCAACAAGCACTGTGCCTGGTTCGTTTGTTCAACAGTTAGGCCAAGGGGGAGACACCACACAGACCCACCCTCATCCCTACCTTCACGGACCCTACATTCCAGCGAGAAGACAAGAACCACAAACAGCAGGCACACAAAGAAAGCAGATTCCATCTCCCTTATCACAGTCCCATCTAGTTCGCCAGCGAATTGAGGAGGGACAGCGCAGGGAAGGGATTGTTGCCATTTTCACCGGAGCCGCTGCTGCAGAAGGGAGTCATCGTTTGTCTCCACCACTAGGAGGCCTTTGTGGAGCCCAGCGGCATGTGCTGGGCGCTCCGCGAATATTGAATGAATGACTAGAGCCAGTCCTTGCCTTCAGGAAGCTTGTATCCCAAGGGAGAGACCCACAGCAAACCCAGACAGCAGGTGTCACAGTCTGAGACAAGCAAGCTGAAGGAATGGAGGGGGCGTGTGACAAGACATTAGGGTTCCTCTGAGCTAGGGGGTCCCAGGAAGCTTCAGTGAGGAAGTGACCTGGTGACACCTGGGCTGCGACCTCACGTGTGGCAGGGAGCCAGCCTCACACAATTCGGGGGGAGGAGCAGCGCAGTCACTGGGGACAGCCTGTGCAGAGAGGTGGGAGGCAGCGGGTTTGGGAGCTACAAGGAGGCCAGGGCGGCGGGAACGCAGTGAGCGGGGCGGGAGGGGCAGGACGGGAGCCTCCTGCGGCAGGGACCACGGGTCGGGTCGTGGGCAGGGACCACAGGTCATGGGCCGAAAGCCTGCAGCTAAAGGCAAAGGGAAGCTCGAGAGTAAGGAACTCTGCCATTTTGTTCAAGTCCCCCCAAGCAGCAGGTGGGAGAACCCCAGCGACGTGCGACAGAGTCTGGGAGTTCAAGGTGTGTACAGGCCCTCGTGTCCCCCGCCTCCACTGCCAGCTGGTTCCGTGCTGAGGCGGGCACACCCAAAGCTGCCCTGGCATGCAGGAGGCACAGCAGAGGGCTCCTGGGCTCCTTGGGCTCCTTGGGCTCCTGGGCTCCGTTCTTGTGAGCGCCAACGAGCTCTAGGTTGAATTGGGGATGGATCCAAAAGGCACAGAGGTAGAGAATTAAATAGTGAGAGTCATAGGGGGAGAGAGAGAGAGAGAGAGAGAGAGAGAAGAAAAAAGTGCAGGGAAGAAACCAAGGCAGCAAGACAGAGAGCCACTGGGGCAGACAAGAGCCAGAGGGGGCCACCCAGAAAAGGAGATAAAACACGAAGCAAAGAAACAACCAAGGCTGCGGACCCCTCAGGGCTCTCGAGGGAGCCTGGCTCCATGTTGTCAGGGCGCAAATCGGGGCTCAGAAACCAGCAGACGCTTGCCCAAGGTCACCTGGCACATCCGCGGCGGGCCTGGCACTTGAACCAGGTCTGATCCATTTCCCATCCCTTTGCTCTTTGTGCCGGGGAAAGTGGCAGAGACTACGACGGGGGGAGAAAGGGCATGGGCAACAGGTGGACGGAGACACAGACAGCACCTGCTTTACTTTTCCAAAGCCACAAACTCCTATAATCCTTGAAAGAGGAAGGCAGGAAGAAAAACAGTCCTGGCCTGAAGGGACCAGCCCAAATCTAGGGGAAAGGGGATGGCCCCACAGACGGCAGCAGATCAAGAGGAAATTCAATTACCTGCAACTCATGGAATATTCATGACCCCTGCCCTGTTCCAGGCCCCACACGGAGCGCTGGCGTCATGGAGATGAACCTAGCATGGCCCTACTCTCGCCTGCAGATGCAGGCACACAAATGACCAAGAGACAATGTCCTAAAGGTCATTAACACCAGTCCAGAGAGAACACAGAGGTGGCAGGGTTGACTCGGGCTGCAGGGTGGGGAAAGTGTATCAAACGATACTTAACCCTGGGGTTTCCCAGTTTGGTGAGGCAGGCAGGTGACATCTCAGGCAGGAGGAGCTGCCATGATAAGGCCCATGGCAAGGAAATGCCGGGGAAGGTGGGTATCAGGTGCAGTCGGATCATGGGCTGTGCTCAGTCCAGTAGCAGAAGACAAATCAGGAAACAGCGGGAGTCCAAGTATAAACCCTTTTGAGTACAAGGCCAGGCCAACTGGATGTGAACCCCTCAATCAGTGGTTCTCAAATTGAACCCCTGGGGGAACCCCAACGACCTGGCCTAAAAGTGACGGCTGAAGCGATGCAAGAGGGGTGAGGTCCAGGCCCACAAGGGAGAAGACATGCTGGCCGATGCTCCGGGCGTCTTCCTGCCTCGGCTGCCCCGGGATTCAGAGGAACCAACGTGGCAGAGAAGAGAATGTCAACGGCACAATGTCACCGTCAGAGTCTCACAGCAGAGGGTTGTTTGGCACCTCCGGGCACAAATAGGCCTGTGTGTCCAGGTGAGTGCCATGTGGTGTTTCTCCTCTATTCTTCACATCTGATTAGATGCCCCCATGTGCCAAGCCTGTGCCAGATCATATGCCACTTGATCCTCACAACAGCGAAACAGATAAGTTTGGTTCCCTCAACTCTAAGAAATGGAGACACAGACAGGCCGAGAGACTTGTCCAGAATCGAATGGCTGGAAGTGAGCAGAGCCAGGACTCGAAGCCAAGAGCGCCAGCTTCCAGCTCTCGCATCCCTAATCGCTGGCCTCGGGGGACAGGCTCTGAGATGGCACGCTCTGGCCAGCAAAAGCCAGGGAAAGCCTCTTCCTTGGCCTTCGAAGCCCTGGCTGGGTGTCTCCCAAAGCCTGATCCCCACCCACCTGCAGCTTGTAAAAAGAGACTCCCGGACCCTTCTCCAAGATTCTAGGGCAGCGGGTCTGAAATGGGACCTCAGACGACTTTCATGCACACAGAACATCCTCCCTCAGGGCTGGCTCCAACAGCACCTCTACCAAGAGCTCCCACCCAGAGCGCCTCTCTTCAGACTACAGCAAACCCCTCGCGTGCACCCCCCCACCCCCGCAACTGGGACGTCAGCTATGTTCCTATCTTCCCTCAACCACAAAATCTGACACCTTTACCAGGCTTTTTACAAAGCACTTTCGGGGTCCCACTGAATCCCCTTCTGCACGGTGAGCATCCTCTCGGGGCTGAACACGCTAAACGTCCTCACAGCGTGTTCTTCCATCCATAGGAACATTCCTCTATTGTTGCATCCAAGGCTCACGACAATCTGGGAGGAGACAAAATGTTCCCATTGCACCGATGAGAAAACAAACGCCAAGTTCCACCCACTTGCCCAGCCAGGGCAGTACACCTGCTTCCCCATCCGTTTTCGTCGGCTCTCCTAGGTGTAGGGAGGCAAGCTCTACCTCCCTATGCTGTCACTCGGTACTGCAGGTTCAACGAGATAATGCTGGCAGGCGCCTGGCACCTCTATGGAGAAAACTCAAGCACCAGGCTGCGCACACGGCTTTAGACCAACCCCATCCTCTCCTTGCTGGAAGAGCAGCTTTGGCGGGCTCGGAAGCTCCGCAACTTCCTCAGGTCTCCCCACTGCTCACCACTGGCCCCCACTCGGGGTTCCTCACGCTGAATCGCGAGGCGCCACCGCGTGGGCAGCGAAGGAAGGTGACGGCCCTTTAAAGGAGAATGGGGGCGTGGTCACGCGGGGCAGGGGCGGGGCTGGGGGCGGGGCGTAGGCGCGCGGTCGCGGGAAGATGACGTCGCGGGGACGTCAGCCTCAGTGTTGGCCGGACATGTGGGTCTGCAGCGCGCTGTCCCGGGCGCTGACCCCGGCCAGGTTGCGGCGGGGGCTGCTCTCGGCTTCTGACTGCCACAGGGCTGCAGCCTCTCCCTACGCGGCGTCGGCCGAGCCCTCCCGGGTCCGGGCGCTGGTCTATGGGAGCCACGGGGATCCAGCCAAGGTCGTCGAGTAAGAGACGGCGCCAAAACCGGGGAAGGGCGCTGGGGTTTCTGAAGGGGTTCTGGACGGGCTGTGCACGGGGAAGGGA